TGCTCATCCCCAGCCTGTGTTGGTACCAGGAGCTGTCCTGACCCAGCTGCAGCCCCAGCACTTGGCTTCGTTGAATTTCCTGAGGTTCCCATGGGCCTCTTGTCAAACTCGTCCAGGTCCCTCACATCACATAAGCAATAGCCTTGTGGAACTTTCAGCATGTTCTCTACATCAAGGTGGACAATCTACATCTTCAGCTCTTAGAAAGATTTACCTACTAATATGATTGTAAAATCCCAGCCACATGCAACTTGTTTTACGCAAAAGCCAGACAGGGCAGTGCACAAAGTAAAACGCAGTACATCCTCTGTGTGATTCAATCCCAGCTGCCCATCTTTGTTGTGGCCGCACACAAAGAGCTGTCCTGCACCTGGAAGAAAAACAAACAAACAAATTGTGTTCCACTTCACAGACTAAAAAGAGAAACCTACATCTCTGAGATCCTGTGACAAATAAGGACAGTGATTATGCGTCACTTTAGGCACTGCAATCAAGTAAAAGTTAAGAGAAACAGTTATTTCTGATGCATCAGAAAGACCTCTGAATAACTACAGCTGTGGAGAGCTGGGTCTGTCAAGGGACACAATCCATATGGTGAGACAGGCACCTCTCACACCAAGATGCTTTTTTTATCGTGTTCACATCTGTCTGTATTCCTTCTTTACATAATTATCTGTGACATACAGCACAACCTTTCAAGGGCCAGATGTTATGTCCTGGTTCTTACATTACCACATCTTAAGACTGAATAACCTCTGACTCCTCCTTCCCATCCTCCAGCCTCAATACAGAAAATTTGGCATCTTTGTATGAAAGAAACGGCTGAAGAAACAGTCCTCACACAACCACAAAGTAACCACACAGTATACGAGCAACAGGAATTTCCCCCATTTCCCCAAATATTGAGTTAACTGGGAAGAGAGGAAGCGGTTTTGCAACTGAGGCTCAGAAACAGCAGCCACAGAAAGGTGGCAGCACTGAAACAAGAGGGAAACACACCAAAAAAAAAAAAGTGGTTAAAAGCCAAACACCCCGTGCAAGAGCAGTGTTTTTACCAGTGATAACTGCAGAATGTCCCCCTCCTCCAGCAATGCTTGCAATGTCTTGACATTTGCAGGAAACATCTTTCAGGGCCTGAGGAACCAGCACATCCTCTTTATGACCAAGACCAAGTTGTCCATAGCTGTTTGCACCCTTCAAATGCACACAGAAAAATAACACATATTTTAAAAAGTTAACAAAAGAAGCACACATATGCTCCCAAGGACAAACAAGCATATTTGGGATATGCCATGGGTTAACCTGCTCCCTGATATAACATAGGATTCCCAGGATCACAGACCAGGACTGTCCTAACTTTGCTGTCATTAAGGGTGTCTGTGCAGCCCCAGTATTTCAAAAAGCATACTGGAATACAGCCTGTTAAAACTTCAACTGCAGACTCACAGTTAATAAGGAGGAGAACCTTTCTATCAGGATGATTATCACACGTTTATTTTAATGCCAATGATTCCCACTCATCACTAAGGTCTTATTCATGCCACTGCCTTCTGGCAGGCTACCTCCAAAACGAGAACAGAAAGACCTTTTTTTGGAACCTAAACAAGTAAATCAGAAACATTAACTAAACTAAACATTAACTAAACATTTTAAATTAAAGAGGTCCAAATGAAAATACACCAATTACAGGTAGTATAGGTACACATATAGGTACAAAACTATAGCTACAAAACCCACCGTGGAAAGCAGCAATTGTCAACATAGTAACAAGTCAGGGAATTTCTTAGTCAGTTTCACCTCTGCATTCAACCTTCTTTCACAAAAAGGGGATACTTTCACCTTCCCCTTCCCACACACCACAGCAGCACTCCACACCACGCTCACAGGTGGCAATCTCCAGAAACTCCTATCCCTACCTCACCTGCACACCCACCTGCTCTCAATTTATCCCCCACCTCCCCCGAAAGATGCAGCACTGGTGAATGTCAGAAGTCCCCATTCAGCAAAAACCGCTTTGTACCTACAGAAACAGCGGCCCCCCGCACAGAAGCAGCGGGCCGCCCGCCCCAGCCCAGAGCTGCAGCTGGGGACGTGTCGGGAGCGGAGCTGCACGGGCACGCCAAGCTCCCGCCTCACAGCCACTGCCGGCGATACGCGCTTGAGAGCACGGCAATGCTTAACAATTAATTCTTCTTAAAGGATGTCTCACAACCTCCCGTCGTAGCCAGTAACTCGCCATGAATTTTCAAGCCTTAAAGCCAGGCAAGCAGCGATGAGGTGCAGAAGGACCTGAGGGGCTGGGAGCCACACGCGGTATCCCAAGGCCAGCATCACTCCAGCCGCCCTGCCCGGGCGGGCGAGCCGGCACCAGCCCCGGCCTCGCGGGGCAAACGGGGCTGAGCAGCGTGAGGGATGCCCCCGGCACGGCTCCCACACCGGCTGTGCCCGCCAGGAGACACCGCGGCCCCGCTGCCCCGGGCCGAGCGCCGCAGCATCCCGGGAGGGCGAGCAGCGGCCCCGCCACCCTCCCGCCTCCCGGGACCCCCGGGCCGAGCCGAGGGCCCACTCACCCAGGCGAACAGCTGGGGCTCCATGGGATGGGGCCGGCGGCTCCCGGCGCTTCCCGCCGCCCGCGGGCCGGGCAGGAAGGGGCGGGCACGGGGCGGGATCACGGGCGGGCTGTGCCCGAGCCGCACCGGGAAACGACAACCCCGAGCGATCGGGCGCGGCGTGTTTGCCCGGAAAATTCACAAATTCCAGAGGTTTATGCCCGAAAAAAAGGAGACAGAGGAGTCCTGCAACTTTATGCGAATAAAGGGAGAGTCCACCGGGGCACAGACCTGCAGGTTTTTTCTCTGTCAGTTTCAAAAGGGACACTCCTTTTATCCCAAACTCCCGGCCGCACGTTCCCCCTGCCTTTCCCCGCTGGCTGAGGCGCTAGGAAGGCCCAGCCTTCCCGAGCCGCCTACCACATATCCCACCTTGAACCTCCCGTTCTCCCCCGAAGTTCAGAAACTCGGGCTGTGCCGACCCTTCTCTGGGTCAGGAGCTGAGCTGCTGGGGCTCTGCAACAAACCCGCTGCCAGCAGAGACATCGGGACCCATTTCAGTGGCGTTAACACCCGCACCTTCACCCCGCAAATTGTTTGTAAAGACATGAGCTTTCCTCCCGTGTTTATTGCTACGGTGTCAAAGTAGAGGGCTTTGGTGGTTCTGATAATTATCAGCAACTCCTTTATTTCGTTGACATTTAAGCCTCCACAATGTTTAAAGTAGTTAAATTATCATCGTTTTACCCAAGGTTTGGGTGGGCAAAGCCAAACATACACGTAGTTAGTGCCGTGGAAGCGCATCGTCTAGGTATTACTTCTAGCAGTTTACTTTTCCTTTTGCTACACAAAGGCAAATAAAGATACAACTGCTGTTTTTACAAAGTACTTGGAAGTAGGTGCTACTTTAACAAGTTTAAGAACTCCTACTTGAAACGTATACATAGTTCAGACAAGGCTTGAAGTAACACAGTATGTATATTTCAACAACATCATAAATCCAATGTTGTTAAAACTGCAGCTGAATATTAACTCTTATCACAGAAGCAGACAAAACAGATCCTCCCTTACTACTCACTCAGAGGAAGGTTTCTTCTTTAGAAAGACAAAGTTCCTAAAATCTATTTTTAAATTAAGTGCAATGTAAGCCTTAAATGTTGTAGGCCATAATTCTACATCTTAAATGCTCTTTGAAACAAAATTATAGTGGGTTAATAGCTACAGAAAAATCTGTCTAGTCTTGATTTAAACAGTGAGTATTCTTGGAAAGGTTGGCCTGGCAATTGCTTATGGAGCAGAGGTGTCCTACGAGAAAGCATATGAAACTCAAGCTAATTTTCAAGCACAGAGGTTTCATCAAAGTCCTTTCAAGTTCTCAAAATCCTGGACTAGCATCTCCAGTGTATTTAAGATTTCAGAACATTCTTTCAGCGTGCTTTTTGGATTTCCTGATAAGATCTACGTATGAGGAAAAAAAAAAAAAAAAAAAAAAAAAAAAAAAAAAAAACACCAAAAACAGTGCCTGGGGTGCTGTTAAATACACCCTGCACATCACAGATCCCCCCTATTAAATACACCCTGCACTTCACAGGTCCCCCACTCAAATGTCTCACATCCTGCACACATGTCCATGCCAGAACAGGGGTGGCAGAAGCTTTGCACAGCTCTGCAAGGTGCTTGGAACGGGGGGACCCTCGACACAAGGAAGTTTGCTACTGTGCAATGCAGAAAATTCAGCAGGACACTGCTTCCCTGCACTTCTAAAGTGCTCTTTGGGGTCAGGTATACTTTACACTACAAGGTAGTTTGTTGCCCTTGTAGCCACAGAGTTCCTATAAAATGCTTGGGCCTTTCAATTATAGTTTGATAGATAGGGAATGAAGGTGTTCAGGTCAGGTAAAGAAGAAAGTAAATGTATATTTGTGCAGCTTGTGCAGGTCAAAAAAGTGACTGAGCAATCAACAGGATATTTATTTTTAGATAAAGCACAACGGTTTATGAGCTTTGGGTATTATTTTAAACGTTGATGTTATTTTAGAGCCAATTAAGCTATTTTGAATATGAAGTTGCAGTTTGAAAATGGATTTGGGCTTTATGCTAAGTCAGTGCTTGATGGCTTGCTGTATTTTTTGCTAAATTAATTCAATCAGGAAAAAGGCAAATGGTATCTCTCTAAGGAAAGGTCTTCCCTCAGGTGCAATGCCAAAGACAGCAACAAAAATCCTGACTCTAAGCCAATAGCAGAGCACTTAAAATAAACGTAATTAGGATTTCATGCAACAGCTGTATCTCTGCCTTATACTAGAAGTATGCCAAACATCACATTTGCAACTCTTTGTGGCAAGAATAATCCCTTTGAAAGCAATATTTGACCCCTGCCTTTTATCATGTTGAACCTCCAGCTATTTGTGTCCTGATGCCTGCATTGTAATCATTCAAGTCTCAAATTTAGTAGCACAGGCTTTGAAACACTGAATTACCACAGCTTCTACACTGTGAAGTCTTCAGCACTATACAGTCAGTAGCGTAGACTGCTGGAGTCAGAAATTGAATTCTCCCTAGGGTGAATTTCTCCATTTTTGCCTCATAAACCACTTCCTGCAGCATCTGATCCCAGCCCTCATCCACAGACCACACTTTTTCTCCCGTCTAACATTTTCTCCATTCCCCTACAAGCTTCTAAAAGGCAACTCAACCTTTTTTTACCTAAGGGGGATGGAGGAATGCATTTATGTGAGGAAATTTACAGAGAGCAACAAGATAAAATTGTTATATTCTTATGGGCCATTCACTCTTCCATGTGCAAAGGAGTGAGATCTGCATGCAACACATGATATGCCTAGAAAGAAATCAGTGGGGAAAAGGGAAGAACTGGCTTGCAGCCCAGGGCTGGCAGGGTGTTACACTTCCAGCTGCTTGCCCATCTTGCTGAGGGCATCACTGACAATGTCCAGCTCGTGGCGCAGCTCATTCACCACGCTGGCGATGCTCTTCGTGTCCTTCAGGACCTGCACACTCTGAGTGTAGGGGTTGTACTTCACCCCAAAGGGGCGCTTGATGGTTTTTGCAAACTCTCTATTGAGGTAAAAAAAAAAAAAAAAAAAAAAGAGAGAGAGAGAGAGAAAAGAGTGTGTTATAACCAAAAGAGGGTGTTATAAACCAGATATAAACCACAAATGCATTCTCTGTATGCAGCCAGTATCAATACCCATTTTTCTAATGTACTTAAAAATAGTCCTAATTGTTATGTATCTCCCACCCAGTACCTGAAAACCCAAGAAAATACTAACCAAAATTGCTTTACTGTGAAAAATAGTTACTAAACTGTGATAAGACTAAAAGGGTTTGGTGCTGCTACGGAGATAGATATAAAACCAAATCTGCTTTTATAAAAAGAAGAGGGAGAGGGGCAGAGTCTGTACCTCATCTTTTCCTTTGCTTCTTCAAAACTTTCAGAAACATAGTAAACCTCCTGGAAAGTTGTAATGACACATTCTTGCTTGCAGGTGACCTTTGGATCAAAAGGTTTGACTTTGGCGCTGTCAGAGAGTGCGTGCTGGTAAGAAATTACCATGGGTCAGAGGAACATCGATCGCCATCCAAAGAATCCAGGAGGAAGATTACATGATAAAGTGAATAAAAAGGATAATGTGAGATGATTTTAACGCATCTCATCTTAAAATTTTTATCTGCAGATGAACAATGATTAAAGCCTAACAAACTGAATTATTCTGAACTGTCATATTCTGCCAGTTTGGGTGAGAAAAGGGACTCCGCAGACACAAGGCTTGTGTATAAACGAGCAATATTTTCAGAATCTGATTAAACCAACAAAGCTTTGATCTGAAAATAGTATTGGATTGTAACACCAAGAAATTATGCTTCATAAAAATCAGGGGGAAACAGTGGCAACAATAATGAGGTACAAAGAACAGAGAAAAACAAGCAGTAGCCATTCTTACCTTGAGCTCACTAATGGAAGAGAGCAAGCCAGCCCCATAAACTCGTAGCTGCCCCTCTTGCTTGCACAAGCCAAACTCTACCGTGAAGAAGTAGCACTGAAACACAGAAGGAAGGAAAACAATTCAGCCTTCATCAAAGATGCTGTGGTGAACTAGATGAGAGCATTTCTATTTGTAGGTAGCATCAAATAGTTGCAAATATCAGATAGTTATCACTCAGTTATCCTGAGATATTTAGAGAGGAGGAAAGCAAGAGTGGAAGGATGAAGAACCACAGGATGGCATGTTTCTCATAAGAAAGGTGGATGTTACAGATCACCCAGCTGGGCTGGAGGTTGCTAATGCCAATGCAAACATCGAGGTGTAAATCTGTTTTGAGAAATACTGACATGAAATCACAGCCTCAGCTTAAAACAATCACTGGATAGAGAGGATCTCTGAGTGAGTGAGAACAGCCCATTGCAGTTTGTTTCTCATTTGCTTAGTGTGCTGTAAAATTAAAGACATTCTGTTTGCTGAATTTCAGGATTTCTGCAGCTATACAGGAAGGAACACTGTTTTCATGGATGGCTTATTTCTGCTCCCACTGATGGTAGTACGAGTTTTACCACTAGCTACACTAGATGGGAAAAGAAATTTTTTAAATCAGCAAGCTAGTTCTTGCATAACTGGCACAGATTTTTTTCATCAAAATCTACTTTTAATCTTGAAATACTCTTGCCAAGGCATCCAGAGACTGATATCCAGAAAATTAGTTTATATTATTTTAATTTCTTGATGGAAAAGTATCTAATGCTAGCACTCACCACATTCAATACCATATAATTTCAATTCATTCTACACATTAAAAAAATATAATACTTTCAAATCATTTAATCATCTTCCCAGAAGAAAGAAGACTTTGTCTGAAAGAAATAGACCATAAAATTTCAGTCTGCAAGAAGTAATCTACCACTAGAAGCTGAACCATTACTTGACAGTAGAGTGAAGAAAAATACCAATCATATCAACTTTAAAGTGTTTTTTTTTTTCCCTAGCATGGAAAATTTTTTCATGGTTTAAAATCCAGGGACCAGTGAAACACAAAGATCTAGCAGCTGGTGTGGCGAAAGTCGACATGAAGATCCACATTTATTTGATGGCATGGGATCAGGCTAGTGAAGCACAAAGCTTTTGATGGAATCCCCAGGCAGTGAAACACTCACTGTTGCCAGTTTTTGGACAGCCTCATCTGATGCCCCAAGTGATGCAAGACCAATTTCCTGGGAGAACTGAGCAAAACTGGGTTCAGCCAAAAGAGGGACATGGCCTAGGAGTTCATGGCAAGTATCACTGGAAAAAGAAACAAAACAAGAAATCTCATTATTTGTCTTTTTGGCGAAGTTAAAAAATCAACACCACTGAACTGATACAATGTCTTGCATTAAACTCTAAACTTAAACACTAAAAGTGTCGCCCATTTCTCTGAAAGCATCTGAGCAGATCATACCAACCCTATATAAAGTACATAAAATCAGATTTTCAAATGAAGGTGCCTAAAATTAAAGTCTGAGCTCCTCATTTGTAAGGCAACTGGATATTAAACTAACTGCACACAGTGATATCAGTAAGAGATTTCCAATAGCAAGCTGTAATTTTGAAAATCCTGCACTTACAAAGCTGGCACTTCAGCATGCTGTAAGTTCATTACATTCAGCATGAAGGCTGAGTCTTCAGCACCTTAAAAATAAGTCTTATGCTGGTGTTCTTGAACAGCTTTTAAGTAACTTGGCTCTGGGCAAGCAAGATTCAAAACTTTCTCACAAATTCTACCCCAAGATTAAATGACTCACGGCTCTGGTGTATAGAGAGGGTCCGAGCTGTGCCTGACATATTGAGTGCAGTGAAAAACTCGGAATGCCAATCCTGCCAAGAAGTCTCTGGGTGACAGATATCCAGCCACGGGGCGAATGGTGAAGCCTGTGCGCTCTGAAAGTGACCAGAGAAACTGTATATTAGTTTAGCATAGGATGCACAGCATTGTCAGCTTTGCTGCTGGAGCTGAAGTGACAGCCACAGCACTACCTTGGCTCAAAAGCACCTGTGAAAATGAGGCACAATTAGAAAAATTAGACTTAGGCTTGAGAATGAGCAACATTTTTTAAAATAGCCCTACCTCTGTGCCAGTGGATTTCCTAGGATTCCATGCCTAGAGTCAACAATACAGCCAGGTATCTCCTTAGCCAAGCCTAACAATCTTTTCAGACACGGTGCCTCAAATATCACTGCATGCACTGAAGACACAATGCATTAAAACACAGATGGCCAAAAGGCCTCTTAAAGAATGAATACAAGTCACCAAGGATGTTTCCTTGTGCCCACAAAATGGTGGGATTTGCAGTAGACCTCAGTTTATTTTGAAAACCAGAAAATTGTAGAAAAGCAGCACATTACCTTTCAGGAAGCGGGACACATCTTCCAGCTGGGGGATATTGTCTTCCCTGTACCCACAGTGTTTGGTGAGCAAGGGCAGGTTTTTCAGGTACTCTCTGCAGGCATAAGTTGGGTAAAGATTGTTAAGCTCTCGGTACACAGTCCCCCAAGTCTTGATCTCCTCCTCAGTGAATTCAATCTTGGGAATTGGGTCACCACTGCAAGGAGAAGAGGAAGAAAGGACACTCCTTAGTAAATGGCTAATAAGAGGTGACTCATTTACCTACTATTAGTATTTAACACCTGTATGACTGTGACACCTGGCATTACACTCTGTCAAACACACAGTGAGGTCTGGTCTATGTCCTGGAAAGCTTTTAGTCTAAGGATTTGCCCTTTTTTCACTTTAACCAGTTGTCAGGAATCTGCATTGATCTCACTTAAAGCTTTGGTTCTGTAAACAATTTCTTAATTGTTCAATGCCAAGAGTAAGGCTTAAAATACCTACACAATCTCTTCACAGCTTCAGGAGCTGATAACACGTCCTTTTCCATGTTGGATTTCTAAGTCTGCAATTTTTTACCCTTTTAATTTGTTTTAAGAAAAGAGAATTTCCTAAATTAACATCACATTGTGTGACAACAGCTAAATATACATGTCAGGTAAAAATCATGCTTCTGTGCAGAGGAGACCAGTGCCTGTCTGAGAATATTTATTTTAGTCTCTCTTTCCTATTTACTTCTCAAGACCATGGATAAAGTGGATTATGGCAAGGCCAGTGGTACACTGCATTCCCAGTGTCAGCCAGGGAACTGGTATGGAAAATGCTCTCCCAAGGGAATCTCTGTCAACAACAGGTTAACAGTAATCAGCTTGGGACTGTGGTAACCAGTTGCATTAAACACACAGTGCAGTAGAACTGTAAATACAGACCTTTTCTAGGTAATTTTCAGTTGAGGAACTGAACATTTAAATTCAATCAGGCCACATAAAAATCACATTTACAAAGAATTTACAGCGCTGGGTTATGAATCTCTTACTGCTTTCAGAGCTCCACCCCCTGCCAAAAAGCATCCATAAAGACAGAAGCTCCTAGAATTACTTTTCACAGAAAACTTCTTATCTACACATCACACATGCTAGTTCAAACCAGGAAAGAAAATTCAAGTATTAACATTTGCTCAGAAAGTTTACTCTCAGTGGTCACTGGGCTGTACATTGGGATTTGCCTCCCCTCCCTCTCCTTTGCAGAGCAGCTGGCCAAGCCCCACGGCCTCAGACTGACCAGGGCTGCCTTGATCTGCCTTCTCATCTTGCCTCACATCTCCCTTCCCTTCACCTCCTTGGCTCTGATCCCTGAGCTGAACCTGCATCTCTCAGCCTGATCTGAGCCCAGGAAGGTGAGCTCCTCACAGTCCACTCTGCTGTTACTTCAAAGCACCCAGAAGGCTTCTTCTGGAAGAATTCAAGCTTACTGTTTGTAGTTCATAGCCAGGTCTGCAAAATACTTTCGCCTCTTGCGATAAACGTTGTCTTTGAAACCCTGGTAGGGAGAAAGGAAAACACAGTTCAAAGAGTTTCCAAGCAATAATAAATAAATCAATTTAAAACAGGACACTTGATGTTTCTTAGGTTGGGGAATCGAAAAGTATGATGTGTAAGAATGAAAGGAGAGGGCAGGAAACTCATAGCTGCAGTCTGAAATGCTTAATAAATGTGAACTGAGCAAATACTCCAAAGTAGGAATCAGCTGATTTATACAACTATATCTTTTGTAGAGAAGGATTCATTTTAGTCGTATCAGTATTTATACAAAGTTTGTTACTTGCACAATTCAAAATTACAGAAAAAATTGCCCATTTTCACTGCCCAAATACCAGTTTGGTTTCTCCAGTAAGGAAAAAAGAAAGAGGAGGAAGAAAGCCTGCCTCAAAATAACTTTCTTTTAGCTTCTTTAATGTGTATGTGACCACTCAGGGCCCAGACCTGGAGTTCTTGCACAAGTAAGCCCTGCAGAAAAGCACGGGAATTTAATTCAGTCAGTCTTCCCTGAACAAAGAAAGAGATATGAAATCCCCAAGAGAAGGTGCTCAGACCCCCAGAGACGCCATTGAGAGAGAGGAGAGGGAGGAGGAAAAGCTGAAATTTTTTTAGGTCAGCTCCACAAAGTATGTTTCCAACTCTGGACTGGGTGTAGGGAGGGAAAAGTACTTACGGGATGGTCGGCATCCAAGTCAGAGCCGTACATCAGCACCCGGTTTGCACACTTATCCAAATCTGAGATCTTCTTTGGAAACCAGGGAACGTTCTCCATGCCTGGGGAAGGCATGGAATCCACAAGGTTATTAATAATGCCCAGCACGCCGAGGGAGGAAGAGCTGCTTTCAAGTACGGCTATGGCGGTTACAGCTCACTCTATAAATTAAAGGGGCATGAATAAGACAAGGGAGTCCTCTGCCTATCTGGCACCAGCCTCCAGCTCACACTTCCTCCTCGGTCACTGCCACAGACTGCCTGCAGAGCACAGCCAGCCCCAGGGCCTCTGGGAAGGAAAGCTAGCATGGGTGTCTCTGCTGTAGTTAGAGTAGCATCTAGAGGATCCCACGGAAATGAGGTGTCCCAGTGCAGAGCTGCTGGGAATCTTGTAGGGCACAAAGGGTGCAAATGAGAACAGAAGTGATTTGTCTGTGGTCCCTGGGCAGAGTGGGAGCAGGTTAGAGTCCTCTCATCGTGTTTCACTGACCACGGGAAATGGATGATTCCCCATGGTTATGTACATGCCTTGAGGGGTATGGAGGGGTATGGAGGGGAGGAGGAACAGGAGGCCCCTGCTGCCTGAGAGACGAGCATCATTGCAGTTTTGCTACCAACTACTTTGGGGTTATTTTTAGCCTAAGACAGTTTTTTGCCAAGCCCTTGGCAGAGCAGTTAATACACTGTTTTTCTGCCTCAATGCTCTTCAGTTTACTTAAAAAGGTCAGGAGACTGTTTAGATTGAATTTCCCCTTACTTACGGCTAAAGTAAGCCATTTTATCTAAGAGCTCCAAATCTCTCCTTCCCAAGCACAATGACTGAAAAATATATGGGACCAGCTTCCTGCTGCCCTGAACTTTGAGCATCTCTTTAATTAAAAGTAAAGGTAAACACAACATGTAGTCTCTAAGGGTAAAAGGCACCTCTGCAATACTAATATAAGTAGTCAGTTATGATTAAATGTGGGCAAAAAAGACAACAAAATCAGGAACTAAATGAGGAAATCGCAGAATCCCTCTTCCACTCTCCCCAGTGTCTGAACTGAAGCGGGACCTGTCAGTATCACACCTCTGCCATCGTAGCGTACTCCAGCCCTGCACTCAGACTTTGCCCACAGGCCAGCCTGCTTTGACCTGCAGGGATGCAGGGCTCCCACTGGTGCCAGCTGGGCTGTGCTGGGAAGGGACAGGAGCACAGACAGCAGACACACAATTTGTAACAGCCTGACAAAGCCTGAACTCCCAGGTTCAGGCCAGGCTACACTCACACATAACACAGAAACAGGGACCTGGCAGCAGGTGCCTGAAGACACAACACAAGTGCAGGTGGGGCCATAAAAAGGTTTCAAACCAACACATTTGGAAGTGCATTTTCATCAGAACTGCCTTTTGTACCTACCATCTCCCTGGAGATTGAAATGCTCTGTTGGGCTCACAGAGACGACGTTGACGTGGGATTTCAGGAGCTGGAAAATCTCGTTCAGTTGTTCCCTGTTACTGTCACAGTCCACGAAGATCTCGAACTCAGAATTTCGTCTCTTGGACTTCCGTGACTCAATGTGTACCAGATTTACATGCTTCTCCTGTTTAGTAAGAAGCAATGTTCTCAAAAAGATAAGCTAAAAACAACTGACTAAAAGTTAAAGTAGTTTTTCAAATTAATATTCTACTGCCATGAACTATTCACCTCCTCTATGAAGCTATTTTAGTTAATTGGATCTCTTGATAGCAATTTGCTTATTGGAGGGAGGGGGAAGGTTTGATTTTCTATTCAGAAGAAAATGAAAGCAAACCTGTGTTCTTTCAGGTTTTTTTTACATTCAGGAAGCACATAAAGACACAGTCAGGAGGTTTAAATTCATAGACCCTTTTCTTTTATCCTTTATCCGTAGGAAGCTGATTAGCAAAATTCACCAAAATGCCAATCAAGTCACCATATAGTTATCTCACTAGCAAGCAAGGGATTTAAAAGCAGTAGTTTTCAGGGCATTAGTTTCACTTTTCCTTTATCTGAAGAATTATTTAATCATGTGTATTGTATTAGGAACACTGAGAAAACCCCAGGCTAAAGCACGCAGAGCCACACACCAGAGCCCAGTGGCACTGCACATATTCCTCACACAGCATCTGCCCAGCAGCTGTGCAATTGCAGCTCCTCTGCCACCTTCAGTCTGCCTGGGCAGTGTGGCAAGGGCACTGCACAGAGCACAGATCAACACCCCAAGTGTCTGCCTGACACCAGCAGGGGCTTCAGACCGCCTCTTGTTCCCAGCAAAACCATTGAGTGCTGATCCTCTTGTCATGAGGGGAAAAAGACAAACCTCTCTCAGTGTTTAGTCTGTGCAGATAAGAGTTTTAGCCAGCCATCATCTAATTTCTGAGGCATACATTTGCCTTTCTGGGTAATTTTGGGTGCCAGGTGGGAGCCAGGTTAAGAATCACGTCCTTAATAAATGGATGTAATTAATTCTTACATGTTCCAAAACTACCCTTACAATTTAAAAATGCAGAGCTGCTGTGATGATCATAAGATCATCATACCATCATAACATACATACCTGAAAGAGTTTTAATGCTTTTACAAGTCCTCCAACTTCATTCTTCAAGGAAAAAATGATGGCTGTCCTTCCTCTTTCAGATGCATGGTCTTCATTTTCTTTGTTATCTTCAATCATCATGTAAGCTGACTTATTTAACTAGATGCAAACAAACAAAAAAATTTGTTTGAATGGGTAGAAGTGCAAAAAGTGTAAGTGTTTACATTTCAGGGTGTCTTGGGTAATGCTGTGCTTTGATCGACCACAAATGGAAAATTATTAATTCAATTATTACACAATAATAGGAATAAAGTTAGTCACAGACAGAATTTGTGAGAGACTGAAATACCAAGGTATCTTTTTTTTTAGTTGAATGATTTTATGGACATCTTTATTATTCCCTAGGATGCAGAAAATATTTTCAATGTACAGTTTATAATTAGCATTGCTACTGAGAGGAAGGGGAGCAATAAGATGTCAGCAGAAATAGTACATTGAACAAAACACTTGTTAGCAAGTTCAGTGAACACTAGCAAAGAGAATAATCCAAATCCCGCAGGACATAGGTAGGAAAAGATGAATCAGGATTCAGTAGATCAGAAATGAAAAACCACTCTCTTGTTACATAACTGTAAAACATTCTTTTCACAGGGCAAGGAGACAAACCTAAGGAGGTAAAATGTTCTGCTGACCAGAATCTGTTGGCTATAGAGACAGTCCCTCTCTGATCAACCACAGCCAAGCTGCTCCATCTGCCATGTCCCTAAATTGGTGTGTCAAACCCTTGGCACAATCACCCAAATCACACGCTAAAAATTCAGACACCCCCCACTGTCAGACCATGTGGTTTTGTACCTCACCAGTGAACACACTCCTGACTGGGTGGAAATCAATACCTACCACAGATCATATCCTCAGCTACAGGTAGCCAGGTCATAAATAGGGATAATTACTGAAACAGTAAAGAATGGGGAAAATGCAAAGTAAAGAAAAAATATAAGGCTTATGAGCAGAGGCTGTACCTCATATGTCTTCAAACCTTGCAAAAAAAGAAAGAATAAAAGGAGAGGTTTCTGAATGAGTCAGTGAGAAAGAGGAGAGAAACAAAAGGCACATTATTGATATTTGGAATTATTTTTTGATCTGACACATCTTTAAAGATATCACTATCTTGAGACATTTTCAGAAATGAAAAGAGCAAAATAAAAATGCAATCAAAATGCACCAGTTCCTTTGATTCCCTCATACAGTCTCTCCAACTTTAATGATGTAATGAAAATATTTGGATTTCTGACCGGGTTCCCACTTCTAATGAGTTGCCACAATATGATGAGCCTGGACAACAGAGTCAGACCATCACACTGTTCCTGATCCACCAAAGTCAATGACCTCCATCAGTCTGAGTCCAGATATCAAATTTTCTGCTGGAAGTGTGTGGCAAGCCCAGTCAGGGTTCAGCTGCACAGCCTGCAGGTTTCCCAGCTCACTTCAGTGTCAGATGACCATTACAAGAGCCAGGAACAGGCACTGAGAAAAGGCTCTTCCAGCAGAAAATAAAAAGCTACAAGCACCACAATTACATACAGGTCATGGGTTGTTTTCTCAAGTGCAGAGAGCCACTTGTGTGAGCCAAATCCTGTTCAGATGGTGCTGCTGTAGGAAAAGCAAAGAAGTCTCCACTCCAAGTAGAGTTAGGTGGTGATTTTGAAGGCAATAAATGCAGGGCTGGTTTATAGAAGAGGCTAATATGCAGCATGCTGGCTTGACTCCATGTGGGATCATTGGCTTCAGCCTGGATCAGCCTTTTTGAGATTTGGCACAGTTGCATGCAATTTTGTGAGGTGCACAGCTGGGACAGACTACCTGCACCAAAAACTAATGCTCTTCTTTTGTGTTTTGCTGCTGCAGCTTACACTGTGTCTGGGATCAGGTGACAACATCTACGAAGTTATATGTTTAAGAGATCAATGAAGAAAATCAACAAAACATAGAACGTTCTTATATCAAAAAATTACCTCCAACTTAAGAATTACAAACTGGACAAGAGAAATTGAAAGGCTTACAATGCCAAATGCATGCCATATATATATTTAATCCTACATCAAAACTAATCTTTTGATTTAATTGAAAAATTAACTGAAGACAGTAATGCAGCAATCATTTGGGTGCAAGGCAACAGGAGAAAATGGTTATGCAGAAACAATTCCTCTCCTCCTGTGGCTGCACTTCACTTATATTTTAATCTCTATCAATAACACAGCAACCCAGCCCTAATAAAATCTGAAACTTTTCCCGTGCATGGTAACACATTTGAACTTTTTGGAGAGTGAAGGGGGAATTAATATTGCATTGATGTTTTTTATTAATGATGCAAATCAATAACTGATTTTCCATCAGCCTGACTCAGTCTTGATGAAAATACACAAACACAGGTCTATTCTAAGCCCTTTATTTAAATAGATAATTAGTTGCTGTCCAGTTAAAGATTTCACTTTTTGGAACCCATAGCAATTATCTTCCCTTTCTCCTTCCCACCAAAGGGTGTTCACAGTGAGAAAGATATATGAGGGTGCATATTTTGTGCTTCAATTCTTTGTATTAATGGATAACCAGGATTTTAAATTATCCAAACATATTTGCCTAAAAAAAAATCACATTTCAATTCATAAATTGAAGATGAAAAATTATTGTCAAAATATTTTATACTGATTGATATTAATCATGATTAATAAAAAATGTCAATGGACATTTTATATTCTCTTCCCTTTAAGTAGTTGCTTACTTTGTTGCTGTCCTTTTGACACACTTCTAGGGAAGGGTGAATACACAATGTTGGGAGTGACCACGGCTAGATATCACATTACATTTTCCAGCTACACCAAAGTTCTTCCTAAGATTTAGCTCTCAGACACCAAACCAAAAGCTGTGTTGAGCAGCTTGTTTGGCTTCCAAGCATCTGAGGGATACAGCAAAGCAATATTTTGGTGAAAGTTTACCATCAGCATTCTTGTCATCACAAGGAATTCTATAGACTTTATCAACTGCACAGTATCAGTAACTGCAGCCAGTGCTGCTTTTATCTGATCTCTGATGCACTAAGCAAATTCCCACTATAATGGGGAATATTATAAATAAAAGGAGCGAGTTTTATATAGAAAGCTAGGAGTAAGTTCTTCTGGGCTATATCACACCCTCTGTCTCCTAAGCAATGGTACACCAAAAGTTGCTTTTGTTCTACCTTAATTTCATATGCTTGCATTTACACTCTTTGAGATTTTTTTTTCCCCCTCTTTTATCCAGAAACAGCAACTCCATCCCAGTCCCAGCGGCATTGAACACTGCCACCGATTCCAGAGGAGCCGCGCCCCAGGGCTCTCCAATTACTGCTCTGTAAGCAACCGGGGCCAGAAAGCTCCTGGTTTTCCCAAATCCCCGTTCCAAGAACTGCAACAGCGAAGCGCCCGAGCTGCGACTCCACAAAAGCTGCGTTTAGTCCGCAAGCCAGGACCGATCCCCGGGTCGGGCAGCGAGGATCCCATCCCGCACTCTCCGTGCCCGTCCTGCTCCCCTCACCTGTGTTCATCCCGCACTCTCCGTGCTCGTCCTGCTCCTCTCACCTGTGTTCATGCCGCACTTCCCGTGCCCATCCCTCTCCCCTCACCTGTGCCCATCCCGCACTCCCCGTGCCTATCCTGCTTCCCTCACCTGTGTTCATCCCGCTCCTCCTGTGCCCATCCCACACTCCCCGCGCCCATCCTGCTCCCCTCACCTGTGTCCATCCCACCCTCCCCGTTCCCACCCCGCTCCTCACCTGCCTGCCGGGGTCCCTCGGGCTCGGCGCCTCCAGGGACCCGGCGCGGCGCGGCGCGGGGTGCATGGCCGGGCAGGCTCGGGGCAGCGCCCGGCCCCGCCGGCTTTATGCAGGGGCGAGAGCCGCCCCTGAGCGAGGGGAGGGATGCAGGGAGGCGGGGGAGGCGCTGCCCGGCCCAGCTGGGAAAGGGGCGCGTTGATCCCCTCCACGATGTTTGCAGAGCAGCGATGCTCGGGCGCAGCCACCACCCGCTCCCGTCACTGCAGCCCGGAAAAACCCGCACAAGGAGAAGCCCTTTGCCTCCTGAGTTACACCTCCTCGGTCACCCGGACAGGGTCACACAAGGGGGGTCACAGGAGACCCCCCTTTACTTTTTGTGGGTAACTCTAGGGTTTTGCAGATAACATAAATTTGCACACCACGGGGCGGAGAGCAGCAAGCATTTGGGTGGAAGGTGTCCTCCTCCACTGTGTCCACACAGGTGCTTCCCAGCACTTGTGCACTCCCTGTAAAATGCTCTGTATGCTGCCTGTGGAAAAGAGAAGGCAAACTGCACCAGAAGTGAGAGGTGGTGAGGGCTGGGCTCTGAGCAAAGCGGCCTCCAAGGCTACCGGGGACTCAGCAGTGGTGGACACCCCTAAATTCTCAGCAGGACATAGTGCAGGTTGAGGAAAACCGTGGGCAGATGTATTGAGATCCTCACTAAAAACAGCAGTGCATTTCTGCTGTGAAAATAAAGTATTTTATTTTATTAATAAAATAAAAATAAATAATAAAATATTTTATTATTGCAGTGTATTCCTTCTTTTCTCAAAACGTCCTGTGCATACAGGAGGAATAACTGCATTTCTATTAGCAGAAAACTACATCTTTTAATATCATTTATGTTGCCATTTATTTTCTGCATGTATTTAGATGTGTTTATAGTATAAAAACTCATGGTTTTTTGACTTCAGTTCTCACTGTCTCATCTCAACTTGGCAACATTAGGATAAAGGGATTTTGGTCCACAGCAGAAAACAAAACATTCCCCAGGAATATAATCTTTTGGAGGTGTTAGGGATCTCTTGGGGAGGAGAGATTGATTTTTTTCTATTTGAGCTGTCCAAAACCAAAGATTCTGATTATTTTTATATGGTTTGTTTTTGGTTGGGGTTTTTTTTGTTTGGTTGGTTTTTTTTTGTTTTTTTTTTTTTTTTTTTTAACAAACCTTTGAAAGATATGCTCAAAATCAGCAGCAACTAGTTTCACTCAAATATACTCAAGTGTCTGGAAAAATCCCCAGTATCTTACTGTTCAGTGCCTAAAAAGGTTTTGAGGTTTTTTTCAGCTAGATTCC